GGCGTGACGTATTGCCCAAACTCCTGGCTAGATTGGTGAATCGAAAGCCAATTTTATTCAATGCAGAATTTTGCTACGAGCCACAGATGACTAACTCCTATCATCCGTAAGCCGTTATTTGACGAATTTCAATTTAGCAATGCGGAGGTTACAGCCAGAATTTAATTATATCTTAAACCATGTTGGTCGGAGTGTGCATAAATTGGACCCTGGACATTGAAGGCACTGTAAATGAAAAGCACTATTTGCCTATGAGAGCGCGTGGGTAGTGTACTTAACGTGCATAGCTGCAAAAAAGTTTGTGTGGGTTTTGACTTATATATTTCCTTTTCTCGATGCCACGGCAAAAGCAGGATCGTATATCATGAAGATGAAGCTTATATGGGAGTAAACAGTGAATGTGACAGCGCGCGTCGGCCCAATCAACCATTATTCAAGTTCTGTCTGATGCATCCAGGGAAGATGACCATTCGTTCGGAATTGCCGGCTTGGTACAACTGCACTTTGCATCCTGACTAGATTTGTAGCAACGTCATTTGCTCACTTCTTTCTCTGATAACAAGGCTAACGTAGCGACCGATTAGTGAGGTTTCTGTCAAAACAATGGGAGCATTTGATTGGTTCGGGAGCGTAGTAGAGGGAGAGAGTACAATGGAGTTGAACGCAGGTCTGGCGCCTGCCAGCTCGCGATTAAAGGGCGCACTCACCTTGCTACCAGCAGCAACTTAACCATTTACAAGTGGACGTGGTTCAGTACTAGCGAATAATCTGTCATCCTATGCAGGTCTTCTCGTATCAGCCGAACCTTCACTGGTGGCATCAGAGCTTTCCTCAGACTGAAAATTTTGACACTGTTTCGCCCGTTCTACGGCATCCACGTAAGCCACGTTAACTACCATACAGGGCTGCGGCAAAAGTAGGGTATGTGGAGACAGCCGCCATTCTCAAGCTTCGGACAGAAACCACATTGTGCATGTTCTAGCTTTGAGTAAAGTGATTACCTAGACAAAGAAATGTCTTAATAAAGCCGGATAAATTTGGCACCGTACTGTGTACGCAAAATCATGAGACGCCGCCTTCTGAGCGCTGCTGGCCAGTGAAAGGACCATCGCCAACAACTGCCCATATTCACACGCCTATTGGAAATTAGCACATTAAAAATGAAGAAGGAACATTTAACAAATAAACAGGGCCAAATTTAATTTTAAAATTCTTAGCCATAATAGTTGACTTCTGCTTTGGGCCGAAATGTGCCTGCTAAACTTGCGCTTCCCAGCTGCCGTTTTTATATTTTCTTCTATTTTCAATCCTAGGTCAAGCCGTGTTTGCCGACTTGCCCTGTACGGACGGTTGAACCATAGTTGTTTTACCCAAAATGGCTATTTATGGGGCCATCCATAGTAGCGGACATTCACATGTTCCCTCAACCAGCTTCACCTAATTTGTCCAGTACATGGGTGTTTACTAGATCCCACGACTTACCTGCTACACAAGCACACAAGTCACGTGACAAACGCCGTTCCACCCGCAACTTTGACCGACTACAAGTCAGTTCCTGTCTTGTACGCATCGGAACGATTCATATTTTACACACACATCAAACTTTCCTATATATAGGAAGCGACAACACAGTCAACACGCATGGACTCGCGCGCGCGCAGGGAGCAAGTAGTCAGCTAAACACTCCAAGTCCACGGACAATCGTGGAATGCGTGTAACAGCCAAACTGTGGAGAAAACACGTTCCCACCGTCCGGACTTTCATCAAGGAACTCTCACATACGATAAGTTCCTTTATTGACTTGCTCCCATTTCGTATTGTATTCATTTTTATGCGTGTCGCAACCACACTAAATATCTTTATTAGTGCACACACGCCTTCTGAATTGCATTACTCTCATCATCAGCTGAGCACTAATACCATGAACCAGGGTGAGGCGAGAACGCGATAGCCACTTTGAAGGCCTCCCGTTACCAGGTCCGTCAGGTTGTTCTGTTCATATTTTCAAGTGGTACTTGTGTGACAAATGCCCGGTTCTGTCCGGTACAAGCGTTTCGCCTGTCTCGATAATTTCGACCAAAGAATCTTACGTCACTCATGGCCCCGATAGCAAAAGCCACAAAACCGACAGGAATGCGTCAGGAATTCCTACATACGTTGCTTCGGCCACCCTGAACGCGAAACCAAAACCTCAA